TTATATGAAGAACGTGGCATAAGGATTAGAAGAGTATTAACAATCTGTGTGATATTATAGATAATACAACCTTCCTTGCTTGAAGCAATGAGTACTTGAAATACTGATGAAGATCAAGGACTATAGCCTTCAGTATAGATTGCATCTAATGTAAAGAAAGCAAAAATCCTCACAACTGGACCAATAAATAATATTAAATGAAGAAAAAACTGAATTAAAGTCTTAATTTTGTTTGCATCCATAATCAATGCTCATGGAAGCAGCAGTCAAGAAATCAAACAACATATTGCATTAGGCAAATCTGCTGCAAAAGACCTCTTTAAAGTGTTAAAAAGAGCAAAGATGTCACTTTGAGGACTAAGATTCACTTCAACCAAGACATGTTATTTCAACTACTTCATATGCATATGAAAGTTTGCCAATGAATAAGGAAAACTGTAGAATTGATGCATTTGAATTATGGTGTTGGTTAAGAATATTGAAACTACCAAGGGCTGCCAGAACAAATCAGTCTGTCTTGGAAGAAATACAACCAGGAATACTCCTTAGAATCCAGGATAAAAAGACTTCGTGGAACTTTCATTCTTTGGACATTTTGTCAGGAGGGACCAATCCCCAGAGGAGGGTTGGTGAAAAAGAGGAAGACCCCAACGAGCTGGATTGACACAGTAGCAGCAACAATGGGCTCAAACATAACAATAATTTTGAGGAGGATGCAGGACTGAGCAGTGTTTTGTTCACTATGAGTCAGAACCTATTCAAGGGCATCTAACAACAAGGTTTAAGAGCAAGTTTCAGTGTCTGCTCTGACATCCATTTTATCTTTCTTTTCTTTTTCACGACTTTTGGCTTTCATTATGTATGATGTTCTTTTTTTAAAATAGTTTTGTTATTTTTGTTGTTGAAAATATACATAGTAAAATGCACATCAATTCAATAATTTCTACTTGTACAATTTAGTAACATTGATTATATTCTTCAAATTGTGCAACCATTTTCTTACCCTCTTTTACCAAATTGTGCCTCCATAGAATTTTTTTTTCCAAAGAAGACCCACCTACCCGTTGTTTTATATTTCTGTTATTGAGAAGAGCAAGTATGTTTCGTTTGTATTGCCATACATGTTCTTTTTTTTTTTTAATTTTCATTGTGAATTGAGTGATAGTTTACATGGGAGAACATCATCAGCTTTACACTCATCCTATCATATTTCGTTTCATTGCAATGATTACAATCTCCTCCATGCATCATCATTCAACAGTGTTTGCTTCCAATCCCCTCTGTTCGTTTTTTTGTTTGTTTGTTTGATGTACAACAAAACACTCAGGAATATGCCATCATTCAAACACCCAAAGGACATATCCTGCAAGCCTGCCCCTGCGGCTGCCAGCACACAGCCCCTCTCCCACCGAGTCTAGAGTCCCCAGCCGCTCCATCTCTCCACATAATCATCTCTGGCATAGCTGCTTCTCTGAATAGGGTCCCACACTCTGCTCCCACTCTTGTCCCTTTAGGGTCCCAGGGTCCTTCGCTCCTGGACTACAAGATCCCCCTTTTTGCTATAAAACATCTACCTTTACAGTTGCAACAATCATAATCAATCATGATAACAATTACTCACTATTGAACCAGAAGAGTCTTATCCCCATCTCCTGTCACCAGCCCCATCTTGTTGTTAAGTACCATGGAGTCGGTTCCGACTCATAGTGAACCTGCACAGGGTTTCTGAGGCTGCAAATCTTTACTGGAGCAGAAAGCCTCATCTTTCTCCCTTGGAACAGCTGGTAGTTTCAAACAGCCGACCTTGAGGTTAACAGCACGATTCATAACCACTGCACTGCCAGAGCTCCTTACTATCCCCATCTGGTGGTGGAGTCAGTTCCAACTCATAGCGACCCTGTACAGGGTTTCTGAGGCTGTAAATCTTTACAGAACAGAACAGGTTGAAAACCATTCAATGGAGAGTCTACCTTCTCCCACACCCTCTGAAACTAAACTCCCTCTTGAAAACCAGTCGCTTCATGCCTTTACAGTCGTGCCTCCCTCCTCCCATTTTAGGTAGCCAATGTCTAAGTTGCCCATCCCTACTAACCCTGTGTACAGAGGGGATGGGAATGATCCTTGGTGTAAAGATTCCTTCCCTCTTGGTTGGTATTTTAAAGTACTACATCCATAAGTAGCTTAAAATATGGATGGAGAGAATCTTCATAGCCAGGAAGGGAATCTTCATAGCCAGGAAGCTACTACATCCAAAGGGGAGTCCTGGTGTGGCGCTGTGGGTTAATGCACCAGACTGCAAAGCTGTTTGAACTGTAAAGCTGTTTGAACTGTAAGGTCGGTGGTTCAAGCTCACCAGCTGCTCCTTGGAAACCCTATACAGGGTCGCTATGGGTCAGAATCAACTCCACGGCACTTAACAACAACATAAAATTGAAGCAAATTACACTTTTTTCTTCTTTTCTTTCTTCCTGTAGTCAGGTTCTGGTCATCCAGCCATTGAAGCTAGGTCAAATGGGTACTATCTGCAAGTATGGGCGTTCGTTCTTGTGCACCTCCCCTTACTTTCTATCAGCTGGACACTTCATTCTCTGCTCTAGCCCTCTGTGGCTATGCCCTTGTCCATGGGCTCAGGAGTCCCCAGGTCTCACCATACTCCAGGTTGACGGGAGTCTATGGAACATGGTCAGATTCAGCCCACATCTTCATTGCTGCTTTTCCCCCGACTTCCCCTCAGCAATAGACCATTGTGATTGCCAGTAACATTACATGCTTGCTCATATATTCCCTTTGAGTTTCAGTCTTATTTATATAATAGTATTGTCAATCCAAGTGGGAAACTTCAGACTATCATGACTCAAAGAATTATTACAATGAAGTACAGCACAACTGTCAAAACTACTGAAGTGAATCTATATCATTGTTAGGTGCCGTTGAGTCGGTTCCGACCCACAGCAACCCTACGTACAACAGAACCAAACACCACCCGGTTCTGCACCATCCTCACAATTGCCGCTGTTGCCACTGTTCCAATCCATCTCATCAGAGGGCCTCCCTCTTTTTCACTGACCGTCCACTTTACTAAGCATGATGTACTTCTCCAGGGACTGGGCCCTCCTGATAGTATGTCTGAAGTAAGAGAGAAAAGTCTGGCCATCTTGCCTTCAAGGGAACATTCTGGTTGTGCTTCTTGCAAAACTACATAAAGGAACATCAACAGAAGTCCTGCTAGGTGCTCGTAAGAGCTCTCTCCTACATCCCTCTGAAGAGTCAAATCCAGAGTGGATATTTCATCATCCTACAAGCGGGATGTACATACTTGAGATCTAATGATCTGTTGTGAGTTTTTGAAAAGACATTTATGTATGTTCCTGTAGTTCAATAATAGAAGAATCTGAGGAAAGAAGCCACTTCTAAAGAATCTCAAGGGGAAAAAAATATTCAAATCAAGGTACAGAAGTTGACAGAGCTGCCATTAACTCTAGGTTACAGCCAGGGAGGGCACACCAAAGGACATAATGTGGTAGCGTGAGCAACACAAGACACGTCAGTGTTTTCTTGTCAAATGGCAAATACCCATTCCTCTAGGGTTTTCTAAATGAGGTGGTCTGAGATGCTTAACTCTTTCCATGACCGAGGCACAATGTATTCTAAGTAACTTAGAGAATAACACATTAATGAGCCTACACACTAATAACAGATCACTTGCATAAAACATTAATGTAGGCTTACATTTATACTAAGTTAAAGCAGAACTGAGGTCTGAAACCCTAGTTACTGTTCTGTATAAAGGAGCAAAGAAAATATTAACTTTAATTACCTAAGCATATCATCCCTTGGACCCTAATAGTTACAAGAACGCATATAAAACCTACACTCCAAGAAAAAGTGGAAATAACTGAAAAATCTATTTTATTAAAAAAATAGACAAGCACATACATGGTTTTTAAATCAGTCTTTGGCTGAAGCTGATATAGAATTCATCAACATTATTTTTTAAGCCTCTGCAGAAGGATTAAAAAAATAAAGAAAAAAAAAAAAAAACTACCAAGCAATAAATGGCCAAACAGTAAACCTCACAGAAATCTTTCTACATTTAGTAGCACGTGACAAATAAGTTCTTGTTTATCCAAATTTGAGACCCAAACACATTTCAAAGAAAAATACTGACTACTCTTTCTGAAATACTAGTAAGAGGCATCTAAGTGTGTGTGGATTTTACAGGGTCATGTATGCTACCCTGACCCTAGGGCCCAACAACGGCTTGGAAAGAGCTACAAGACTCCATTCAACTTGACATTTCATCAGTATCATTTTAATCAGTAGGTATATTATTGTCACATATACTTTTTTAAATATAAATACTTTTAAAAGCTGTGTTTTACAATACGATATCAAGAACATGTAGCTAATCCAGGTTGTATAGGTAATCATGTTTGACTCTGGAAGAAAGAAATTTGATCAGAATACTATTAGGGTGAAAGAAAAACACCTTCTTTTTAATCATTCACATTCAGCAATAATGAAAACGCTTTCTGTATGCACCGGCTCTGAACAATACATTTCATTTCTGTTTCAAACCTGCTATGCTATCTATTACCGTTTGAATGACTGCACAGCTTAACATAAAAATGCATCCCACTCAGATTCTGAATAATAAGTCTGATTAGACAGATAACTTCCCAATCATAAAAGTTTTTATTTTAAGACAAGTATTATGCAAATACTGCCTGGAAATCAGACTCCCTGTAATTGGTATGAAAAGACAAGCAGGAGATGAACACCGCACACTTGACACGGATCACATGTGGGTGTTCTCCTCGTGTGTCCCTGCCCTTGCTCCTCTTTGAAGAGCTCAGTGAAAGTATGAACACTACAAAGTTACCAACAGGTGAAATGAGCGAACCATGTAGGAAGCAAGACTTTCTTGATAAAAAATCTCCAGATAGTTCCTATTTGATATGTTGTTATAACCGTCCTTGTTAAGGGGGTAGGGGGTGGTGAAGAGGGGTGTTTTCTGTGCAACACCTGCAGAGAAATCAGTCTACATTACACTCAAAGCCAACTGCATACGGCAAATCTAAACCACACACACGAAGCAAATTCCGAAGCAAACGTGAAGCAGCAGTGATCTCAGGGCAGCACGTGCAAAATCCACGATTTGGGTATTCACATTTTAGTGGTCAGAAGAGAAATGTGCCAAAGCTCCCTTTCCCATTCCACTTGAACTGGTTCCCCGCAATAGAAATAAACATCTCCTGTGACATTAACTTGTCATCCGCTTCCGTGATCCCCAGTTCACTCAACCGTTTCTTCTTCATCTGGCCTTTCTTCGTGGAGGCAGCAACTAGTTCATTTACAATTTCACAATTGCCTTCGACTGGCTCAGAAAAGTCAGACCTTGCATGAAGCTCCATTTTATCAGTTGCACACTGAATCAGCTCTTCTAAATCAAGTTTTTCGGCTGCATCTACCTCTCCACTTGTCTGAATTTTAAGTGCTTTATTTTCTGGAGAAACAAAAAAAGTAAAACAGCATTTAACTACAAAGCTATCTCAACTAAAATAGATATATATTACACAAGCTACTAAACAAACAAAAAACCTACTGTCACGGACTTCATTTCTCCTCATGGCAACCCTATAAAGGGGTCTCTGAGACTGCACGTTTTCACAGGGGCAGACAGCCTCATCTTTCTCCCACAGAGCAGCTAGTGGGCTTCAACTGCTAGCCTTGTGGTTAGTAGTCTGAGGCTTATCCAGCAGTGTCACCAGAACTCCTCACAATCTATTAGAACCATGGATTTTTCAATTGCCTTATATATGTATGACAGCTAAACCATGAATACGGAAGACCTTAGAAGAATTGAGGCCTCTGAATTACGGTGCTAGCAGAGTATTTATTATACCATGGACTGCCACAAGAAGAAGCAAATCTATGTTGGAAGAAGTACAGCCAGGATGCTCCTTAGAAGAGAGGATGGTGAAACTTGGCCTCCCGTACTTTGGGTATGTTATCAGGAGGGACCAGACCCTGGAAAAGGTCATCATACCTAGTAAAGAAGAGGATCAGCAAAACATAGGCAGACCCTCAACAACACGGACTGACCAACTGGTACGGCAATGGGCACAAACGTAACAACTGTGAGGATGGCGCAGAGCAAGCAGTGTTCTGTTCTGTTCTGTTGCACAGTTGGAACTGTTGTATGAACTGAAACTTAATGGATGGCACCTAACAACTACAATTAGAGCTTTCAAGGTTTTTCTGCCAAAGCTTCCCACTGGTATCTTACTAGATCTTAAAAACTCTTTACCACTAGACTCTCAATGAGCTCTACCTGCCAAGGTGTCTTTACTCTCATACAGAATTACCAATTTCCAAATCCTCCGTTTTAGCCTGGGATCTCACTGACTAACCAGATATTTCCTGGAGAGCTACTATCAGCACCATCCACTCTCAAAAACCCTATACAGGGTCACTGTAAGTTGAGACTGACTCAGCGACACAAGTATGGTGCTAAGAAACCCTACTGGCATTGTCGATTAGGCATGGGGCTGCTAGCTTTGGTGTTGGCAGTTCAAACCCAGCGGCCGCTCTGCAGGAAAAAGATCAGACTGTGTGTTCCTGCACAGATTTCGTCTCAAGAGTAACTCAGGGGCACTGAGTGTGGGGTTGGGTTAGTACTGTGCTAGGCTACATGGAGCACTAAATCAGCACATTCTACATGTCCTACAGCAACTCCAGCAGCTACTATAGCATGAGAGAGAGGGCTTGTAATAAGCTCAATTCTGATCCTCACCCACTGGTGCTACCCCCATGATTGTCAAATGGCAAAAGAAGTCTTACAGATGTAATCAAGGCTACGGCAGCCCTGGTGCTGTACATAGCGGGCTACACAGTGGGCTGCTAAGCCAAAGGTTAGCAGTTTGAACCCACCTGCCACTCCATGTGCCAAAGATGAAGCAATCTACTTCCATAGAGACTAACAACCTCGGAACCCAGGGAACAGTTCTACTGTCTAATGAGGGTTGTTGATTCCAAATAGACTGGCGGTGGGTTTGGTTTTGGAATCAACATTACTAATCAGCCCACCTTAAAAAATTCTACTGTTATTTTTACACAAATAACACCTTCTATATTCAGGTGGGTGTCCTGGTGTGGCAAGGCGGGTTAATGCACCACACTGCAAAGCCGTTTGAACTGCAAGGTCGGCAGTTCAAGCTCACCAGCTGCTCCTAGGAAACCCTATAAAGGGTCGCTATGGGTCGAAATCGACTCGATGGCACTTAGGAACAACATATTCAGGTAAGTCTAATCTGATCACCTGGGCCATCTAAAGCAGATGGTTGCAGATGAGGAAAACAGAAGTCGGAAAGATTCAAGTGATTACAGGTGTGGGAGGTTTTCCACTGCTGAGAGGGCAGGGCCACAGGGCAAGGACTTGAGTGTCCACTAGACACTGAGACTGGTTCTAGGCCAGTAGCCAGTAAGAAAGCAGAGACCTCAGGAACCAGATTCTGCCAACAACATGAATGAGCTTGGCAGTGGATTCTTCCCCAGAGCTTCTAGACAAGAGCCCGGATTTCACCCTTTGAGATCCTGCCCAGAGCACCCAGTCTACTTGAATGGACTTCTGACTGCAGAACTGTGAGATGAGGAAAACTGGGAGAAATAACCGGAGGGAGTCCTGACGACGAGGTGAGCTACTCCTTACTCTCCGACGCTGCCCACCCATGTAACATTTAATAGCGGTCTAGATCGTGGCTTAATATTCAGAAATGTCTCACTGAGTTACTGCAGCCATTCCGCCAAGAAAGGCAGGTGACAGGGAAGTATTTACTTCCACCAATGAAAAGCAAAGCAAACGCCACTGTCCCCTCCAGTAAGTGTAGTCTCCAAACTGCCACATGCTTTTCTTTTCCGGTGGCTCAACGGCTAAGCACTCAAATGCTCAACAAAGAGTCAGTGGTTTGAACCCAGCAGCTACTCTGCAGGAGAAAAGAGCTGGGGATCTGCTCCCAGAAAGATTACAGTCTAGGAAACCCTGTGGGGCAGCTCTCCTGTCACCTAGGGTTCCTATGATCAGGATCGACTCAGCAGCACATGATCACCACACCTACAGCAAATGCCAGCAGGACACCTTCGCTTCATGCCCAGCCTTATGCTACAGATTTTGGGAACAGCAAGACTGAAACACGACAATATCATGGTGTTTCACGAGCAGTTGAACTAGTTGACCTTGAAGTTTCTTCCAAGATTTCATCTTCCAGCTCTACCAAGCCTCTCGATCTGCAAGCCCAAACATAAGCTAATAATCCTTTTATACAGAGGGGTAGAAAGACCAGAGCTTTAATCAGAGTTTAATGCCGAAATAAAGTAAATTAGGTCTCTTTTTTTAAATATAAAAGATTACTAAATATAGTGTACCTTCAGTTTCATCTTGGGCATCTTCTTGCAGGTCAGAGAAAATTGTAGGTTTCACCAAGACAACGCCATAACCTTCATTATTATGTATGACATTATTCACCATGGTTATTTTGGGAATGTCATAATGCTCATCTAAGAAGTCCTGTGACATTGAAAACAAATGTTTTAAGGAACTGTCACTTTCAACACTGCCTGCTTTAAAAATCTCCTCACTGTTTTTCAGGCTATTCTAAAAATAAGTAGAAAAGCTATGCTTAGTAATATGTCCTAGCACAGTCTAAGCTCTCAGTGATACAGCATTCCTGCTGTCTCTATAGATATATAGGCAGGAAAGCATTCCCACAAGAGACTTCCTATCATCAACTATTATCAAAATTTATATACTATCGATCCATTTTAAAAACAGCAAAACCTAACATGAATTTAAAAAAAAACAACACAGACACACACAAAAAAAAACCCCCTCTTTTTCCTTAGATGAAACCGTTCTATTTTTCAGACAGAGGGACTTCCAGCAGGTGCTCACCTTAATGAGTATGCCTTCCTTGCAGTGATGGATCCCGTTGTCACTCAGGCTGCACTTGCTCCCAGGATAGATTTCTAATCCAGCACCCTACAAGTCACAATTTGAGGTACCGACAGCCAACTTTTAGGAGCAGACTGATAAGAGGTTTAGCACAATCACTTGTTGCACACAGTGCAAACATAAACATCTCAGGGAGAGGATTACTGGAAACTTCTTAGCAACATTTCCATTTGTTCCATTTCTAGCTCGTTGTCTACCATTCATCACTTTCAAAAACAAAACACACATACATCCCATACTGGCCAAGAGTCAAAACTTAATTCCTACCCCATTTTTTTCATTCTGTACACATCAGTTTTCCAGTTCTACCAAAAAAAAATCATTTAACAATTTTGTTAAAGATGCAAAATAACCATTCTCTCAGAGACACTCAATTAGTTGGAGAAGAGCAAGTGAGTCAAGTAAAATATTGCTATCTGAGGATAGAAACAAGACCCTGTGTTGTTAACACCAGTTTAAAAACACCAACCAAACCCAAACCCAAAAATCCCATCTAAGAGTAAAACAGCTAATGGCCTCCACTACTTATTACATGCATGTTCAAATTAGCAGCCAACTCAAGTGTCCTGTTTATGTGCAGTAACCAGAAAGATTTATGCATAGCCCAATTCTCTCACACTGTCCCTTAGCACCATATGGTGACAACAAAAAATAACAGTGATCAGAATAATTCATTCCTGATGCTATGCTAGGCACATTGGGAAGTGAAAGGGATTCAACCAAACTTCTACATATAAGAAATCATTTGGAGAATAATACACAATTTTATAAATGAAGAATTGCTATTAGCCATTTCTGACACCATCTAGCATATGTATGTAGAGTGGTTTTTAGGAATGGGAGTATTCCACAAGAAAACACATATACAACAGGGTGTTGTTGTTAAGTGTCGTCAAGTAGGTACCGACTCACAGCAACCCTGTCTGTATAAGCTTTCCAAGAAGTGGCTGGTGAGCTTGAACTGCCGACTTTGAAGTTCAAAGTGACCTTGCAGTCCAGTGCATTAACCCACAGTGCCACACAACAGAATAGCTAAATGAAATATGAAATCACTAGAAATCATTAAAATTTAAGAAATAATTTAAAATTTTAAAGGAGAACAATTCCAGCAAGTAGCCACCTAGCAAACAGAAATGAAAGACCTGAGGTGGAACTTTTAATATAAGACCAAAAGGACTCTAATCAAAATTTGTTACAAGAGACAAAAAAGAGCTCTCAAAGCCACTGGTGGGTTTGAGACTTCATTGCACTACTTTCAATAATGGGGAGAACATCGAGAAAAAAGATCAATGAGGAATCAGAGGCCCTGCATGACACCATAGGCCAAGTAGACCACTCCACCTGACAATAGTACAATACACATTTCTCACCAATGCATCTGGAACATTCTCTAGGATAGTCTACACGTTAGATCACAAAGAAAGTCTCAATAAATTTACAATGACTGAAATCTTACAAAGTATTTTCTCTGATGACAAAGGAATTTACTTAGGAAGTAAAACAAGAAAGAAAATTTAAAAATACACAAAATGCAGAGATTAAAGAAAACACTTTTATTAAACAACCAATGGATCAAGGAAGATGAAAGAAAAATTAGCAAATACTTGAGTCAAATGAACATGAAAGTATTAACATTTCAAAATTTATGGGATGCCGCAAAAGCAGTGTTCAGAGAGAAATTGATACCTCCAAACACCTGCATTAAGAGAGTGCACAAATCAATAACCTAACTGAAAACTTGAGAACCTAGAATAAAGCAAACCCAAAGCATCTGAAGGACGGAAATAGCAAAGACCAGAGTGGATTTAAATAAAATAGAGAATAAATTTTAAAATTCATGAAACAAGAAGTTAGTTTTTGGTGTGGCGCTGTGGGATAATGCACTGGACCACAAGGTCGGTTTGAACTTCAAGGCTGCTGGTTCAAACTCACCAGCTGCTCCTCGGAAACCCTATGCAGCGTTGCTATGAGTGTGAACCGACCAGACAGCTTAGCAACAACAACAAGACTGACAAAGTAAAAATGAGAGGAAATGTAAAATATCTAAAATCAGAAATAAAACTGGGACACTACAACAGAAACAAAAAAAGGATCATAAGAGATTATGGACAATTGTATACCACAAACTACATGCTGTTGTTGTTGTTATGTGCCATGGAGTCGGTTCTAACTCATAGCGACCCTGTAGAGGGTTTCCGAGGCTGTAAATCTTTACGGGAGCAGAAAGCCTCATTGCTCTCCCGCAGAGCAGCTGGTAGTTTCGAACTGCCGACCTTGAGGTTCGCAGCCCGATTCGTAACCACTACGCTACCATAAGCTAGATAAAATGAATACATTCCTAGAAAAACTTAAACTTCCTACTCTGACTCAAGTAGAAATAGAGGTCTTAATAAATCCATAAAAAGTACAGAGACTGAATCATTAATCATAAACATTCCAATAAAAGACAAGTCCTGCATCATATGGCTTCACTAGGGAACTCTACCAAATGTTTATAGAAGTGATTCCAATTCTTCTCAAAAAAACATTTTCCAAAAAATCATAACACTTCCTAATCCATTCTTTGAAGTTAGCCCACTCTCAGCACTGCTATTCAGCATTCTACTGGAAGTTCCAGTCAAAGCAATTATGCAAGGAAAAACAAAAACGTAAACCCATCAGGAAGGAAGAAGGAAAGTTATCCCAGTTCACTGACACCATGATCATATCATGTAGTGGACCCCAGAGATTCTACTAGAGCTAACAAGTGAATTCAGTAAAGCGGCAAAGTACAAGGTCAACAGACACAAATTAGTCATGTATCCATACATTAACAATGAGCAATCATAAATGGAAATTAAGAAAACAATTCTATCTACAATAGCAGCTAAAAGAATAAAATACCTATAAGTAAATGTAATAAAGTGAAAGATCTGTATACTGAAAACTTTAAAACATTACTGAAACAAATTAAAGAAGACTTAAATAAATGGAAAGACATGTTCATGGATCAGAAAATTTAGTATTAAGATGACCTGGTGTAGCGATGTGGGTTAATGCGCTGGACTGCAATGTCAGTTTGATCCGCAAGGTCGTCAATTCAAGATCACTAGCCACTCCTCGGAAACCCTGTACAGGGTCGCTATGAGTCGGAACCGACTCCACAGCACATAACAACAACAAGAGGCCCTGAGTAGCCCAAGCACAGTTGGAGGACACACTTCCTGATCACAAAACATATAATAAAGCTATAATAATCAAAACAGCCAGGTTCTGTTATAATGACAGACATACAGACCAATGGAATAGAGATTTCAGAAATAAACATATACATCTATAGAAACTTGACTTTTGACAAGGGTGTTAAGTCTATCCAATAGGGGAACAAATAGTCTCTTTAATAAATGTTGTGGGGGAAATGGGCGTTTCATAAGCAAAAGAAAAAATTGACCCATACATTACACACCACATATAAAAATGAACTAAGAATGGATCAAGGATCTAAATGCAAAAACTAAAACTACAAAACTCTTAGAAGAAAACACAGGGGTTATGCTTTGGAAGCTAGTTTTTAACACTGGCTTTTTAGATAGGACTAAAACGTGTAAGCAACAAAAGACAAAATAGATCACTGATCTTCATCAAAATTTAAAACTTGCTCATCAAAGGCCTTTATCAACAAAGCAAAGAGATAATCCTCAGAGTGGGAGAAAACTTTTGAAAACCATATATCTGATAAAGAATTCCTACAATTCAACAATAACAAAACAAAAACTGGGCAAAAGACTCGAAGAGATACTATACCAAAGAAGAAATACAAATAGCTAAGATAAAAGATGCTGGCCAGGATACAAAGAAACTGGATCACTCTTACACTGCTGACAACAAGATAACATGATCCAGTCTCTCTGGAGAATACCACATGCACTCATGGGCAGTTATCCCAGAGGAAGGAAACTTATGTTCACAAAAAACCCTGTACACACGTGTTAACATCTTTATTCTTAATAGTCAAAAAACTGACAACAAGCCAGCTGTCCTTCAACAGGTGAATATTAAATTGTGGTACATCCGTACTAGGAAGTATTACTCAGCACAATATTTAGATGATTCTCCAGAGAATTACACTGAATTAAGAAAGCTTATCCCGCTTAAAAAAAAAGGTTTCCATACTAAAAGAAACATTTTTTGATAGTTACCAGGGGTGGGAGAGAAGGAAGAGTAATTCACTGGCTGGAGGCTAGACATATTAGCTCAGGGGATGGGAAGGGCAATATACCAAAAGAGGGAGAGTGGCAGAAGAATGAAGACAGGTATAGACACAGGGAGGTGTGCGGAAGGTAAAAGGGATACAGGTAAATAATGATTGGAATAATAGTGTTCTGTGTGTAGATACATGGACTGTGACACAAGCTGAATGGGTAAAGGAGGAAGAGTGACGTGTGTGTGTGTGTGTGTGTGTGTGTGTGTGTGTGTATACACCCCACAAAAAAATAAGTGTCTGAAAGGGGATATTTGTACATGAGTATTTACCTTTCATACAAACACAACTATGAATGTGATGAAGCTTACAGTAGGAAAAATGATGAAAACTTCCCAGATATTATCAAACATCTTAAGGCAAAGAGTTGATGGGCTGGGGGGGGGGGGGTCTAAAGACCATAGTCTCAGGGGACTCCATGGTTAATTAGCATAACATAGTCCACAAAGATTCCATCCTGCTTGGGAAAGTAGCATCTGGAATCTTGAAAACCCACGAGAAGCCGCCTAAGGCACAGCTACGGGTTCTCCGTAGCGAAACCAAGAGTGATAAGAGTTGAAGCTGCTTGGAATCAATTACTCCAATTGTTGTTAAGTGCCATCGAGTCGGTTCCGACTCAGAGCGACCCTGTATAGAGTTTCTAAGGAGCAGCTGGTGAGTTTGAACCACAGTCCTTGCAGTTCTAAATGACCTTGCAATCCAGCGCATTAACCCACAGTGCCACATCAGGACTCCCCAGTGGGCTAATGGAACATGTGAACATCAGTCTCCATGATTCTGAGACTAGAAGAACTAGACTATGCCTGGCTACCAGTACCAACTGTCCTGAAAGGGATCACATTATAAGGTCTTGGACAGAGTGGGAGAAAATGTGGAGCAAAACTCAAACTTATTTAATTAAAAAAAAAAAAAGACGAGGTTTACTGGTCAGAAAGAAACTAGAGGAACCTGAGAGTCTGGCCCTCCACTACCCTGAAGGTTTGGAAAGGAACTCACCCTGGTGGCTCACTTTTCATCCAAGAAGCGATAGGTTTATTTGGGAGGGAGCAGACAATAACACTAGCATGGCATGCTCACCACGGAATGGTCAATCATTCAAAATCAAAAGGGCACCATTTACCTAAGGACCAAGTTGAGAAGGGTTGGGAAGGTGGATGGAATGGCAATAGGACCCACAGGGAGGAAGCGGGGTAACTGTGGTTGCAGGGAGGGGATCGCAATCCCTGAGATGAAACAAAGTGTCTGATTTAGTAAATGTAAAGCTGATGATCTTGTCTGTAAACCTGCACTCAATTTACAATAAAAAGTTAAAAAAAATAGTTAATAACCCAAAGGTTATATACCATTTATATAATAATCCATTTATATCATAGTCTTGAAAGGACAAAACGGAAAAAGAAAACAGACTGGTGTTTGCCAGCAGTTAAGAAGGAACAGGGGGAAAGAGGTAGGAATCCTTGTGGTGACTGTCACCTTCTCGACCTTGGACTGGAGCATTGTCAGTATCCCGCTGTAATATTGGACGATGGTTTTACAACAAGTTACTATTGAGGGAAAATGATAAAGGGGACACATGTGATCTCTGCATATTACTGCTTACAAATGCATGTGAATCTATAATTATCTCAAAACAAGAAGATTTTATTTAAAAATAATAATAATAAAGTTTCAATTACTACACACTTGTTTATAAAGTTAAGATCTTAAGGGTTTTAAAGTCTCAAAAGTTACAATTCTTTTTCTTCCGAACCTGTTTTGTAAATGCTAAATAGAAATAGCCCTGCATAATTGAGTTTGACTGTCTGAGCATACCCAAGTGTCTGAACTTCTTTGAAGAACAGGGACATGCATTTACATCTTGGCCCCATGTTTTATTCATTTGTTTAGAACATAAACCCAAACTACCTCACCAAAAGGCTAGGAGCTCCTCCTACCTTGGCGCCATATAAATCTGAGTTCTTCATTAATAACTCTGCTGATGTTCGGACGGTGACTCCGGTAGTTTCACATTGCAGTACACAGTTTTCCAATACAGTCTTGCCACGGTGAATGCCTAGGATAAGCACATACAACTACTGCTTTAGAAAGTACTACGTCTTTTCCAGTGCTAGAAATAGCCTTGAGCTATTTTTGTTGTTAAGTGCTGTCCAGTTGGTTCCGACTCACAGCGAACCTGCCTGGGATTTCCGAGGAATGGCTGGGGTGATTTGAACTGCCAGTGTTTATCCTACAGAGCTGTACCAGAACTCCGAGCTAACATTAGGTAAGGTCGAAGTATTTTCCCTTCGTTTTCACACGTTATCATCTGAATTATAAATTCACAATATGAAAAACGATTATTCTGAGTTATTTTCTAAAATCTAAAAGCAACATTCCTTAAGCAAAAAAAAAAAGACTTGACCTCAGAAATGCAAGATCCAGTTTAAAAGCACTTTTAATTAAGACAAAAGTATGAGAGAGCAAATTTGTTGGGAACCTTGGATGGGAGGAGAGGGGATACAGATCCTAGAAAATGAGTATTAGAATAACGTGGGCAAAAATAGGTTGAAAACCAAACCGAAATCACTGCCATCGAGTAGATTCCAACTCACAGCAACCGTGTAAAGGGTTTCCAAGGCTGTACATCTTTATTTACACAGTAAGCCTCATCTGTCTCCCGTGGAGCAGTTAGTGAGTTTGAATTGCCAACCTGATGTTTAGCGCCACCAGGGCTAGGTTGAAGCTAGTGCTAAATCCAGCACAAAGAACACAAATCATAATACTGGGAGATTTTTGAGGGATAAAACTCATCGCACAGAAGTCAATATTAAACTAACAAATTTTGAAAAAGAAATTGAAATCTTTTTCACTTTGGTGAAAGCTTCCTACCTTGTTACATTATTAGTGTAAACCCACCTTCCATACACTCAAGAGGAGTGTTCCATTAAGGCGTATCTCTCAAGAAAAGCAGTTTTTCTTCAAAACCTGGGATAAATAACATACCAAGTGTTTTGATACTTACTTAAGATTCCTTCTACAGCACCATGCTGAACAAATTTTATGTTTGAGATTTTAATATCTGCTCCTGTACAATCCACAAAAGTGTCTCCTTTGCCCCTCTTTTCTATCACAATATCATCTGGTAGACCATATCCTATGGAAGAGAGCAAAACCAAGATGGGTAAGGGGAAATGTCTAAACAGAAAAACAGATTTCTTTTGTTCAAATGGTTCCACATGATATTTGAGATTACAGTAGCGTGTAGACAATATCTTAATTATCTCTCCATCTATCTCGATTAAGTTAAACCATGATATTCAATTTTTAACAATAACAGTTCCCCAATTTGTCCTCTATCAGGGAGCCTATTCTGTGAGCCATCCTGGACAAGCTCAGCATTAAATTCATTTACAGAACTTCAATGAAACAATAAATAAACAAGCCAAATGCTGACAGCTGAGTCAAAAGGCTTTCCACATTCAATCCTTCTAAGTTTTTTTTTTCAAGCTCCAAGATACTGTGAGAATAATATAAACTAAACTTTCAAAAAGCCTACGCATTTCTCAAGATGATCTAATTCTTGTCGAGTGAGTCACTTTAAAATCTGACAATTTGACTTAAACAGGTTTTTTATTGTTGTTAAGTACTGTTGGATTCCGACTCATAACGACCCTTCCAGGGAGCGGCTGGTGGGTTTGAACCACCTTGCAGTCCAAATTGACCTAATCTATTGCTTATTCTACAGAGCCGAAGCAGCCTCCCTTGTTAATCAACAGAATTCACTGGATCTCTGTAAATTCAAACTACCAGTGTCAGCAGGATCAGAAAACTAGAGAACTGGCCTGATTTTATCAGGCAACAGAAACCAGAAAAGTCACTGAGGAGATCTGCACTTGAAGAGCACAGACCAGACCTGGGGACACTAGAGAATGCAGGAGAAAGTCCTACACCAGAGTGCTCCCATAGTGGACTCTGGATGGCTAAGAGTAAATTGTTTTCCACAATCACACATCTCCAGGACAAAAAAACCAACAACGAACTACCATAATGAGAAAAACTGACGTTATTACTTGAACCAATTACTCTACATTGTACTTCTCTGTGATGTCGATAGCCTGCAGAGCAGGTGGCTGCTCAGTATAGGTCTCTGTAGCTGTCGCTCATCCTCAGATAAGCTCCAGTCTTAATTATCACCAACTACTCCATGTATTCACACTAGTAGAGATACTATCTGACTCCCTAAATTCTCAGAAATGTCCTCTGTTGGTAAATTTACAGCTATTTTTACACTGTAACTATCAGAATTCTGAATGGTTATTTATGACACTGTGCCGATTACATTATCATTTCCTCACCAATCCAAAAAGAACTTCTCCACCACACAATCTCTAAAACCAATGTTATTTTCACTATGCCAAAAATCAAGTGATTTTACTGCAGTGTTTTATCCTGCAGATGTGTTATTTATACACACACATCTATATAAATCAAATATTGGAGAGGAGAAAGAACAAGAATTACACACATAAAACAAAGAAGGGCTGGGGTGATGTACTAGTGAACAGCAGGAAATTAAACTCCCAGCCTTGCTTCCATTAAGAAGTTTTGACAAGATCAAGATAAAGAATGTAGCTTAAGCAGTTTGTGAACAGCTGCACAAGATCTAATAAGATATACGATTTCTTGCATTACAAGTTTTATTGCTAACTTGAAACAGTTTTGGTAAATAGTTGAACAGGTGCATCTAAATTTGACACATTATGGAAATATAAAGGACCAAGACAAACGATTATAAAGTAACCTAAATTTAGGAGTCCCTCTAAATGTATAATAAAATTACAACTACTAAAAAGTTATCTTTAATAGAATCTTTCAACATTAATTTTCTCTAAAATAACACTTTGGCCAAGACACAAAGTATAGACTTTGCAACATTCCACAAGCTTTTAAAGAATTAAGATAATGTTTCTTTTGTATCAATTTTAAGCTAAATGTACTTGATTATATGCTAGGAAAAATACAGGCAGTCCCCAGGTTACAAATATTCAACTTACAGACAACCTGTAGTGAGCCAACTCCCATAAAGCCTATTATATTAAGACACTGAGGTGCATACAATGGTTCATAATAACAAACAGTATTATTATTACTGTGCTAGTATGCTGAAGATGTTTTAGTGTATTGGAAGTATTTCTTTGAAATTTTTATGCATAATTTAGCAACTATACGACATACATTGTGGCACTGTAGGATAAGCGCAGGACTGCAAGGTTGGCAGTTCAAACACACCAGTCGCTCCTTGGAAACACTATATTGGGTCACTATGAGTCAGAACCAACTCAACAGCACTTAACAACAGCAACAACAACAACCAAGGAATATTATATACAATATACTAAGACAAACATTTGACTGATGTTAGATATGAACCTGGCTGTTGCAACTTATGTACAAATTCTGCTTAAAGATTTAGTAATGGAACTCGTCCATAATCTGGGGCTGCCTGTAACTAAATTTAAATTTAAAAATTTGTATTATCAAAAAAGCTAAATGCAAAAACCATGTACTATATACCCACAACATACAAGGAGGCTTCAATCAGTTAATGAAAAGACAACAGAATTTTTCCAAGAACTTTTGAAGCCTCCTTATACATGAAATAAGAAGTTCCAAACTATTAAACAAGAATATTAAAATAATAAAAACATTGCTGGGATATTTTTACTTCTAGAAATGAGATTTTCTTTCTATAAACAAATATAATCTGGAAAGTACACTTCTGAATTGTGCTTTTGCTTTATGTTGATGCTTTCCCACACAATACATGTTACAATAAACCATAAGTCAAGTTGCTCAATTTTCATGGCAATTCATTTGAAATCAGATGTGTTAAAATTATATTCTTGAAGCTGCCACGAGATCAGTAATTCACTGTTTTCTTAAGCATATCATGCATGAGTGTGGTTGTGTGACCTTCCATACTCACCTTCCAACTCAATGGAGTCAGCAATGGAGAATGTACCATGGACCACGTAATGACCAGGGCAAACAATGACCGTGTCGCCTTCATAGCAGGCATTGATAGCAGACAACGGATCATTATGGAACTAGAAAATAACAATAACATATTACAGTATACACTTCCCAAAAGCAACCCAAATATGAGTCCACATGCCTTCGGGTCTCACTTTGAAAATGGAGTAAAAACTGACTATTATTAAATTGTCTGCTTTGATGGTGCATGCTTGGTACATGACTACTGCTGCCACAAGACAACACTCCCACTATTTCTCATTTGACAGGAAACCACCACGGGAAGTTCCTGCAAACTTTTAATAGAATTCAGGAAAACCTTTGTGAATCAGAGGGGGAAACCCACTGGGATTGAGAAACTCCCCTTTTACCTGAATTTCTATTTCTTCCTTACAAGAGTCCTGACAAAGCTTGTCCCTAAGCAAGGACTGCAGCAGACCAGTCATCATGGTGGAAGAGACCACATGGGTGACCTTCTGACCACTCACACGGACACCCTTTGCTTGGATATTAGAATTCTTTTGGTAACCAAACACATATCTTAAAGAAATCAAACAGATGTATCAGTTTTCAGAAAACAGCTGGGGGGGGG